GGGCGGCTAGCATTTTTTTCTAACCACCGATGTGGAGATTGACCAATTAGCAGCAACGTCAAATTCCCTCACCTTCTGAACGGAGGCTATCCTCAAGGAATCCGATGATCTCGTGTCCTCAGACACACCCTATCATAGTTTTCCTCTGCAGCATCATCGCGACGGAGAGTCATTCTCTTGTGATGTCGTATTAGCGAGTTACTTAGTGCCTGTACGCTCGGTGGATATTCCACGTTTTCGCAGAGTCCGACTTAGATTTTTGTGAGCACGTACATCTATCATCCCGTTGACCGGGGATTCGTTATTGAACCTAAGACCAACATCACTAGTATCGCGAGTGTCCAACCGCCGCGGTTGATTGTCGAGTCGGTAGTATCCATACTCGTATTAACAGACTGTACCTTCGTTATAACACGACGATGGCCGATTCCAATGAAAATTCATCAAACGGCCACAACCCTATTCCTGACCCTTCTCTGGCATATAATTATTTCTATAATTGAATATTATGTTCTTATAAAATAATTATGTTTTTGTTAATATTAATTATTCTTCGAATCTCGTATTGTATTGATCTGATAGATAGTAATTTTTTCGAAATTTGTTTAAGAGTCATTCCCTGACGCACTTCGTGATACACAATTAAGCTTATTCCAGTAACACAATTCTTCATAAATTCGTTTCCATGCTGTTAAGGTAAGTTCTTTCCCTACTTCTTTTTGATTATCTACTATTACTCTATTATTTGCTTTAATGTCTGCATTTTAATCGCAAAATGCATTGTTTCATTTAAGAAACGCGGTACAGTATATATATTCGTTAATTTTTATTTATTAACCAAGAATTATGAATGAAATAATACAAATCTCAGTTCTCAGATTCCGTTGCAAGTCATTACAATTAGATATGGGCATGATTTAAATAATATACCGTTAAATAATATGCCCAGTCTGATATCTACAAAATCGTCTAAAACTTTCTATTTTTCTGTGTTTTATGTGTAGATATTTTATTACACATAGAAATTTATTATACATAGAAACCTAATCTCAATATTTAACCAATGGCGAAACAATAAGCGGTAGAATATCTCACGTAATATTGATGCCATCAAAAATAGTTTTAACAAAAATTGTTTAGTTCGAAAGAAGGCATCACATACGGTGCAAATTACTTTTTTGTAGATTCAGTGGTAGGGTCCCATTTCAACTTCATTTTTGCAAATGGAACCATATATTTTTTAATACATTCATCGATCTATCTTCGTACTTCTTATGAAAGAATTAAAAGGAACTGTTAGTTCACCAGATATCTTAACTTGAATTCGTCGTATGAAAAACAGGTAAGGACGCGAAACGGTACTCTTGTGTTTACGTTGTCCTTGTCTTTCGTTTGTTTTAGCATAAACACAATACCGCTTCGTGTCCTATGCTTATCTTTCATACGACAAATTAAACTTAAGATATAATCTAAACTAACAGTTTTTCGACATAAATAGGTTAATACTTTTGTATATGATATGAAACGTTACGATATCGGTTACACTACTGTTGCTTACAAAGCACGAGTTTCGACTGATTGGTAAATAAAGAAAAAAAGGAATAATAGCAAGAAAGAACCGATTCGGAAGGACGAGCCTTTCGTTTACCTCCGAATCTCTCACCAAACAGGTTACGTTGTAGGATGTAAGCATACTTCCCGCGGTGAACGTATGTATATATTGTTTATATATATCGTTTTGGTATAGTTATTAACTATGTTTATTGTTACGTATATTTATATTGTAGTATAAAAATGTAGCCGAAAAATCCGCCTGTTTCAAACCCCTTCTTTTAATGTATGCGTTATGACCGTTCGCGGAGAGACGCGTCAGCGAGAGGTGTAAATTCTCGCTACGATTCTAATAACCGACGCCGCGAATTAGTCGTTCCCCTGTTTCGATAAAGATAACAGAGGTGGTTCAATGAATTTAACACTGTATTAACAGGTTAATATAGCTTGTATATTTAACAATAATGAATGTAATAATAAAAACGTCACAAATTATTTAGCGATGAATACAGTTAATATGTTACAGAAACATATCTTTAAACATAAATAAACTTTAAAATAAACATATTGTTGCGCTGTGCTATACCTGGACCCGGCCATACACCGCGGGCCAGACAGACCCCAGATGTCCGCTCATCCTTACGACGTACCCTCAATAGCCTTAAGTACCCGTCATAAATCCCAATAATTTGCTTGCTAAGGCCCTTCAGACCGAACAAATATCTTTGTCTAAAACACTTTCTAAGGACTATTATCTACCACGCCTGGACAAGGGAAAGTTGGGTTTTCCTACGTACGATGCTTCCTAATAGCAACTTTCTATCGAGGGCGGCTAAGATCCTTCCTAGTCCACCAATTCGTTCGTTTAACCAATTAACAACACATCCGATGGTCCCGTGCGCTAGACACACCCATCCTTAACTTTCCTCCGCTACAGCATCGTCACCGAAACTCACTGATTCTTCAACTTTCAAACATCCTTCGACCGGGTTTACATCCGAAGATTAGTCAATCACTTATCTTATACACACGCACCAGCGTAACTATCTTCTTCATAAAGTTGTTGGAATAAATTGTCTTTCACACCTTGTTACATCAGTGTCATATTCAATTAACAACCTCTATTATCCCAATCGAAATAGGGGATCGATCATTTCGTGGCGTCGATTATCTAATCGTAACGGGAATTTACGACTCCCGTTAGCGTGCTTCCTCGCGATCGCGTCTCTCCGCGAGTGGTCGAAAAACATATGACTTTACGATATCTCTCAAGTAAAGATATGACTTTACGATATATCTCAATGAGTTCGTTAGACTAAGCGACTTTAATTTTAATCGTCAGACCTCTCGATGTATAACGTTTGACTCTTCAGAAGGGACTAATTGCCCTTCGATCCTTTTCGTTGTCTTCTCTGGGAGACGACCCCCACTACGCTCGGATCACGCCACCGTTCGCGCCTATGCTCACGCCTGCCACCTTCTATATATGTATGAAATAACGGACCGAAATCGACGTTTCTAGAACTCGCTGCTTGGTGACAACTATGCGCTAGTCATGTAAAGTTGATACTTGGATTGTAGTAAGAAGGCTGAGTTGTAACCCAACTACTAATTTTCCTTTATAAAACTTTATTATAAATTTTAACACTTACAAGAATAACACTGAACTGGAGAAAAGGGGTTGTATGAGAACAGTAACTAGAACAAGAACCGTCCGAGCTGGATGAAGCCTCGGTTTATATACGTTTTTGGTTTGAGGATGTTGAGGGGGCTCGACGTAGGTTATGATGTGGAAAAGTGTCCGAAGGTCGGGGGTCGATGTCTTATCTATGATGTGGACTGAGGTGTGTCATAGCCTCTGTGTAGCCGGTGATATGCGTCCGAGGTCAGGGGTCGAAGTCTTTATCTATGATGTGGACTAAGGTGCGTCACAGCCTTGGCATAGGCTATGATGATAAGGTGGTGATGTGTCCAAAGGAGTCCGAAACTCGGGGTCGATATCTTATGGTTGAGATGAGATTGATGTCACACGCTCGTCGATACATTGTGTATTTTCCGTCGGGTAGATAAGACGATCTATCTGCGACACTGTAGGACCGCGAGCGACGGTTAGAAATACAGCCTGTGGTAAGCCTCGTGGCGTAACACGTAAGAACATTACGATCTGTGCTATTTTCCATAGTGCAGGAAAGTACTGTATTCTTAGAATTGCGTTGAATGTTTTCGTTGTTAGTCTTATAGCCTTTGGCGGAAGGTTTTTTAAGATTTTTCCATTGATCAAATCAAATCCTGGTGCTTTACTTGTCTTTGTTCCCTTAATTAAGTTTGTAACTTCTTGCGCTGTTGTGCTGAGTATGATGCAGCGTTTATCAGTTGTGTTGCTGGCATTTTCCACTTTTTCATTTGTTTGCCATCTGGGGATGCTGTTATTAATTTCGTACGGTGAAAATATATTTTGTAGGTACTTTGGAAATTCTTCTGCCTGCTCTTCGTTGCTTCTGTCCCATGTGTTTTCCATGTTTCTGATTGCTGGGATTGATTTTATTCTTTTCTTAACCTTGTCAGCGACTTTCCATAGAGAGTGGTTGGTATTCTCATGCGCGGATAGTGATTCAATGCATTTTAAGAATTCATTATTATGATGTTCCCTTATTTTATTCTTGAATTCCTTTGTAAGTTTATTTAAGTTTTTCTTGTTTTCTCGTGTTCTCTGTTTTTGCCATTTTGCTTTCGCTTTTCTTTTTCCCCTGATTTTATCTAGGATGTCCTGCGGAATAATTTTTGATTGCCTGCTATTTGAATCATGGGTAGTGGTTGCCCACGCTGCTTCCTATATTATTTCTGTCATAGTTGCTACTGCCTGTTCAATGTGTTCAAGTGTTTTCAATGGGATATTGCAGTTGATTTTGTTTTCGATTAGCTCTTTAAAAGTTTGCCAATTGGTGGTTTTATTGCAAAGCGATTCTGGCTTGTTATTTTATTGCAAAGCGATTGGCTTGTTATAAAGTAGTGGTTTGCTTGTATATTCTAATATAATTGGTGTATGGTCGGAGTTAAGCTCAAGGCTGGTTGTTATTTTTAATTTGCTTACGTTTAGTCCTTTTGTTACTGCAAAATCCAAAAGGTCAGGTGTTTCATTGAGGTCTGTCGGCCAATATGTTGGTTTTCCTGGTAGATACGTAGATTGGTAGATACGTAGTACGTTGAGGTTGCTGCTTCTAATATATTTTTCTAATGTTCTATCTCTCGGCGTGTTGCCACCATAATGTGTGCTTTGCATTAGTCTCCTGCTGGTATATATTTATCGCCTAAGGATTGGAAGTACTCTTCCCATCCTTTAAGTGTCATTTTGTGTCTCGGAGGTACATATACTGCTGATATCTGGAAGTAATTGTCATTGGTTTGTATTGTGACAGTGGTTGCTTGCGTGTGTTCTTGATTTGTAGGTGATATGTAGGTCACGCTTGATGTCATTTTTTATTCTTACTGCAGTTCCTCCATGTGCCTGAGGGGTGTTTGATGTCGTAGATGGTGTAGTACGGTAATTTCATGTAACTTTTTGTAGTGAAGTGTGCTTCCGATACGAGTAGTATGTCGATATTATTGTTATACAGGAATGTTTTAGTTTCTAGGGCCCTTTGTTGTAGTCCGTTAGAGTTCCAGGCTGCTATTTTAAGCATGTCCATTTTTATTTTTTACTTAGCAAGTTTGTGAGTAGTTGTAACACGACTGTTGTTTGTTGTACTTGCTGCCTTAGTATAGTGATTAGCTCACTTACCATTTTTCCTAATATTTCCGTACCTTTAATAGATTGTTTGAGCATTTCTTTGATTTCTGTATCGTCTTCGGTGTTGTTTCTTTGATTCTGATTGTTTGTGAGCGTTGCTTGTGTAATGTTTTGGGTTACTTGCGCGTAGCTTCTATGTTAGTAGCTGGGGATCTACGTTTCTGTTTATAGTTTTTGGTTCATTTTGTGCTTTCAATGTTGCTTCATTATACGTTATACTTTGTTGTGGTTGGTAGTTATTGACTGATCTATTGCGAAGTGGTGGAAATAGTTTACGTTGTAATCGTTTCTTGATTCACATCCTTTATAGCTGGCTTCCATTGGTGGTTTCCATTACAGTTGTAACATTTTACTCCATTTATTTTCCCTATGTATGGACAGCGTGTTAGATGATTTTTTGCACATTTAACACATGCCGGGCTTCTGTTACAATAATTTTTAGTACGACCGTATTGTTGACACCGCATGCATTGTGATATATCTTTTTTGTGGCGTGGTGGTTCCACTGTTACTATCGTATTTAGAATTCTTTTGATTTCGTAGATTTTCTTGTTGTTGGTTCTAGGGCCCAGTTCTATTAAGAATAATGGTAATGGTTGCTTCGTATCGTATTTTGTCATATTGTTTATTGCTCTTGTTTGGTGGCCAATTTTTGCTAATTCGTCGCTTAGTTTTTTTGTGTTAGTTTTTGGATGTAATCCTCTTATAACTCTTTCGTAGCTCCTTTCCGTTTTGAGCTGGTACGTGTGATACATAGCGTTTTCTTCTTTTACTCCTCGACCTCGACCTCGCCGCCATCCTTGATCTCCAGCTGCTCTACTAGCTCCATTACTAGTTCCTCCTTGCTCATCAGGGGGCCTATCTTCTTGATCTCGACGGAGGTCTTGTCGCGCATTGGTAACGCGCTCACCCTGCCGCCAAGGGCTATATTCAGCTCCACCACGATCTTATTGGCATCGCTTCCTGCCTTTAATTCAATTAGGATGTCACCAGCCCTGGTTCTCCTAACACCGCAGCTATCCTTCAGGGTCTCCCTCGCCTCCATCATGTCTCTATAGACCCAAAGCCACTCTTTCCCTTGTCCCACCTTGATAAGGATGGCTTCGGGCCTATTTCTATTCCTCTTCGGCCTTTCAGATCTCATCGGCCTGTCCACGGCTAAAGCCCTATCCGTTTCAACCCTATTCCCTATTCCAGGGTTGATCCTCTTTTTCTCTTTTCGTCCACGCACGATGGTCCACTCCTCTCTCCCGTCGCTATCCGTGTAGTACAGAGTCGCCTTGAACCTCCGTCAGCACAAACTTCGGCATAGGAGACCTCACCGCTCCTCGCCCTTTTCAGTTTATTATTGATTTCCCCTTCGAGGGGCGATATCACATTTCTTTTAGTTTTTTTCTCGTCGCTCCTCTTCGGAGCGATCGTCGTCTTATCATGGCTGACCGTTCTATTTACTCTTGTGATTCTCTGTTCAGTCAGCATAGTCTAGAGCGTATTAGCCCTTCCGCTAATTATGTCCCTCCTTCTTTTAATATCAAGGTCTCTTTTAGACAATAGGTAGATCCTGTTGGTAACCCTTTGTACTTCGGTGAAGAAGTCGCTAATAATCTCTGCCATCGCCTTCCATTCGCTCATGTTGATGACAATATTGTCATCCTCTTGAGCTCTATTCTCCGCCTGCGACCTGTTCGCAATGGCCTTTCTTCTGCGATGCCCCCCGGCTCTCGCTACCTCACTCCCGCTATCCGACATTTCTGCCGGTGTGTCTAGCTTGGAGACGGTACTTATTTCTTCCCTCTCTTTTTTAGTGGGACTTCGGGCCAGACTTTTCGTTGGCCTGGACGCCCTATCCTTCTCCGAAGTCTTCTTCAGGTATTTAACGATCCTATCGCCTTTTAGAGTTTCCTCTTTCACGATACGGATCGTTTTTCCACCCGGTAGCTTTACTCCTTTTATAGCCGGTACCCCGACTTCTTCAATAATTTCTGCGATGTGTTCATTAAATTCTATTCATCGCTTCGGAGTTGCCCTGTTTCCAATCTCTTCATTGGCAACCCTGGCAATTCTTTTGTCCTAGGCCGTATTTACCGAACGAGAGGAGGCCCTGGGACCGACCTTCCTCTCGTCGTTCGTCCAGTCGTATGATGACCGTCGGGTCGAGCCTGGGACGCTACTCGAGTCGCCGACGGGGCCTGGGGGCTCCGAAACTCCCGTAATTTTCTTTCCTTTATTAACTTTATCCATATTTTTAACTTGAGAATGTCCTTTTTCGTAGCCGGCCGTCATAATATCTCGCAGTAAACCTTCCAAATATATCCTCTCATAAACCAACAAGACTCGCCAAGCCGTCAACAAAAATCCAACCATGTCGTGCTACTATAACACAAAGTTCGTATAAATATAATGTAATGTACGAGCTTGTTGTTTTACATCAAATATATTATTTATCTTCATTATTCAATCGCCTATCGTTGTAATGACTAGTTCTGATGATGCATACATGATGCGCAGCGTATAAAATAAATAATGAATAATAGTAGAATAATAACAGCAGCAAAATAATAGTAATAAATAATGGGTAATAAAAAGATAATGATCAACAATTAATAATAATTATATAGATAAATGAGCGAAGTCAATAATAAATTATCAAATAGTAATAACTGTACTAGTAATAAGCATAGGGTATAGTGTCGAAGGCTTTCGAAATGTCCACTATTGTGAACACTCCCCCTCGATTTATCTTGCTACAGTTTAGAGCCTCATTAAGTAATTTAATGGTAATCTTACATCCGCTCTCGGATGTAAAGCCTTCCTGCCTCAGGCTCTGGTCTACACTCCGTCTTAGCCGTCTATCGAGGATTGATGAGAAAATTCTACCCAAAATTGGGCCAATCGTAATTGGTCGCCAGTTCTCGACCATATTTCCGTTTTTATTGACTTTGGTTATTAAAGTTGTCCTATTTTCCTTCCATGCGGTCGGAAAGTAGGAACTATAGCACAATATATTAAACAACTTAGCCAATATTACAGGCAGGTCGAGCATTAACAAATTTTCTTTCAACAGTCCGTCTAGCCTTGCCGC